CGGGAGCACCGTTCAGAAAGGGAGAACCCGGAACCCGAGCCTTGTCCCCGCTCCGGGCTGCTGAGTGGGGCCCGCCAGCGTGTAACCACTCCCGAGTGCCCGGGCTGCCTGGGATCGCCTGTTACGCCCTGACGGACTTTTTTCTTCAGCTTGGTGTGTTAGGTTGGGATGTTCCCAAGGCAAATCCTAGCCTTTCAGTATAAGGTCCTTACTAGTACAAGCATTGTGTTTGTTCTCTGTATTTGTTTGCAGCAGCGTCGCTTGCGTTCTAGCTTTGTAACGCATGTGCATATACATCCTAATAAAAAGAAAAAGCAAATGGGTGAAGCCTGTCCCAGCAGCTCTTCGTGGAGACTGGGGAGTCATAGTTTGTGCCGTTTGTGTAAGTCACTAAGCTGCTTGGGAAGTCCTGTAGGTTATACATGATTTATATTTTTAATTTCTAGATTGCTGGGATAATTTGAATGTGGTTTTCATGTCTGTGCATCTCCCTGCTTGTGATTAAGCAGCATGAGTAAGTGCAGCTTGGTTTGAGTTTGCATATGATGAACTCATGTAATTGAAAGGTCTGAAAGAAGATGAGCTCTTTAATGGCGGCTTGTTCTGTCAATTCAGATGGTGACGACTGACATTGGTTGTACTCCACGGGTCCAATGTTCAGAGGTGCAGCCCCACTTTCAACCAGTTTTTAAGGTGTGAGATGGTCACAGGGTTGGGGAGGTGTGGACAGCCTCTCTGAATCCCAGGTAGCGACTGCGCAGGATTACCCTTCCTGTGTGTTAGCAAAAAAGCTTCAGTGAAAGTAGCTCTTGAGAAAGATGGAGGCAATTGCTGTTTCTCAGTTGCCAGGTTTCCTGTGCTTAGAAAAACACCTGTTGTGGCAAAACTGGTGGAGTTTTGCCTGAAGAGGGAAAGAGCAGTTTTGATGAGTTTCTAAAGGCATGCTTATTTGCTGCCCTTCCTAAAGATGATGATGATTATTATTAAGATATAAAGTTGCTCAGTTCAAGAGCTGAATTTTAAAAGCCTTTCTTGGAGAGCTGTGTTTTTGTTTATGCAAATGCAGAAAACCTGTGAGCGTAGACCTGGGTGAGCCCTGTTCAGCCCACACAAAGTCTTTTATCCTGCATTCTTTGCAAAACTTGGAAGTTCATGGAAATGGTTTCAGTAGTTCAAGGAGCTGGTTGCTGAGAACTTAAACTTCTTTCTCGTCTTTTGAGACAATGTATCTCACTATCTCAATACCGCTTGAAAACTGAAGCAAGCTATTTACAGGAGGTAAAGTCGGTGAGCAGTCTCGGTCCCTTCCTGCTGGCAGATCCAGGCACACAGTAGTGCAGGCATGAAAAAAACCATTCAGTTGTGTGATGTGATTTTTTGTTTTGCTTGGATAACCTTGGGCGCTACTGATTAGTGTGTGGAAGGAGTTTGATAGCGAGGCGAAACCTTTTGTAATCTGTTGAGGCCAATTTACAAAATCCCTGCGACGTGCCTGTTAATTCTGGAAAAGACTAAAGGCAAGTGGTTCATTCTTTTGCTGGGCCTGTGTACAGAATTTCACAACTATTGACAGCCTGAAACCACAGGTCAGTTTTTCAGGATGGGCAGTTACAGTCAGCCCTGGGCCATCTGCAGTCAGAAGTCCCCCTTCGGGCCTGAGTGGGCTTTAGGAGATAAGGTACACTGAAAAGCACCTTTGTGTTCTTGAAGCACTTTTTTTTTCTTTCTTTTTTTTTTTTTTTTTGGTCCTTTTAAAGGTCCCATACTCTAGGCTATTGATCCTACCTCTCACTCTGTCCTACTTTTAGAGGGATAAATGTATCTTACAGAGCATGAGTATCGTGACAGGGACACAGGTTAACAAACAGAAAGCCATCATCCTTCAGCTGAAGGGTGAGGTTTCTGAGTTTCATCGTGTATGATGTGCAGTGACCCCTTCCCCAGCAGATAAGACCGTGGGTGCTCACATTTGGTCACTAAGAGGTCGTGTGGTGGCAGACGACATGTTTTGTTTGCCTTGGTTTTGTGTTCTGTGCGTTGATATCAAAGGCAGTCTGATGTTTTTTCTTCTGTCTGTGTGGTTTTAGATTTCTGATACACTGAAGCGGTTTGCGGTAAAAGTGACCACAGCCAGCGTGAAGGAACGGAGAGAAATCCTCAGTGAGCTGGGAAAATGCATTTCTGGGAAAGGTAAAAACTTTGGGGCACTGTTCTGGTTATCAGGGTGGAGAAGAATGTTAAAATATTTTGTTTCAAAGGCTGTGTGAAATTTGTGCGTAGTTTTTTGAAGCAGGGAGCTGGCAGCATTTAGAGTCTTTGCTTTCTCACAGCATTAATTCTAAGCATGGGTTTTGTAGGTAACACCAAAGTCCAGTTACTAGCACATGTGCTTTTCCGGTTAGTAGTACATATATATATATATATGTGGAGAGAGTATGGAAGATTTTAGATGGTTTTAATAAAACTGTTGAAACAAAATTAAAAAAAACCTTTTTGATTTCTCTCATTTTCTGAAGATGACTGTGCAATAGTGTATGTTCCAATTTTGCCCTTATTTTTAAAAATACATGTAAAATGCATAAAAAGAGAGAACTCTGACTATGATCCTTGCAAACAATTTCATAGAGGTATAGAGGCTGTGAGCAGTTCACTGATTTTGGTTGTGAAGTGAATGATGTTTGTGTTAATGGTTAACAGCTCAGTGATTTGTGAAGAAATATTTTGAAATACAATCTGTTACAGATCTTCCAGAGGGTGCAGTGAAAGGCCTTTGCAAACTTTTCTGCCTTACTCTGCATCGATACCGGTGAGTAAATTGATGTAGAAAGACTCTATTATTTAATCTATCAGTATTTATGTATTTGTTAGTTAAACTGGTATGGAGCATCTGGAAATGTTAGTGTGCAGTGTCACATAGATGTGTATGACACTGAAAGATACTATCTAGTAATTAGGCTCTCAAGTTATGTTTGACATTAAAAAGTTTTACAACGCTTACCTTGTGTTTCACTTTTAATTTTGAAATTAAAACCCACCTTGCATCCTGTGGTTAAGTCTGCAAGAATGAATGCCTATGTTCTTGAGAAGCAAGACTAAGGTGTAGGTGTCTTAGACATCTTTTAGACACTTTTAGATTGGATTAAATTGTGGCCTGTTGTAGAGAAGCTGTTCAGAACCTGTGTTTTCTTCTGCAACGTGCCAGAGAGCCTCGACATAACTTCTGTCAGCTGAAGAAGGGAATGGGACTTTTTGCCAGAAACTTTTCCTCTTCTTGGAACAGCAAGGATAAAATAACTATTAGCTCAACTGCTGAAATGCGGAAGCAGAGCCCTTTGTGTGATGCAAGTGTAGTAATGTGTAATGTTGGCAGGATTTATAATGTTCACGGAGACAATATTTTTCATTCTAGCGATGCAGCATCCCGCAGAGCCCTGCAGCTGGCGCTTCAGCAGCTCGCAGAATCCCAGCCAGATGCAACAGCAAAAAACCTTCTGCAGTCACTTCAGTCTTCAGGGATCAGCGGCAAGGCTGGAGTTCCCAGGTGCTGGATAAGTTGCTTTGTGTGGAAGCAGTTCTGAGTTGCTGGTAGTTGCTGGTAGTTGCTCTTGTGTTCAGAATGATTCTTCTGCTGCTGCTTGCCAGAGGTGTTAAAAACATTTAGAGACGAAGCTGTTAATGACCGTTCAAATGTTCCTCTCTTACCTCTTTCACGTCTTCGGGGAAAGCAGAAGGACTTTCTTGGTGTTACTGCTGGTGGATTGGGTCTGAGTTACGGTTTTGCTTTTGTTAACCTTCAAGTCTGGAGAGATGAGGAACAAACTCTTTTATCAAAACAGTCTCCAAAATAATGAGGAAAGGTGATTTCCTTGCCCATCTGGTGTTCAGCTGGTGGAATTCAAGACCTTATTACAGACAGGGAGACAATGAAATTTGAAGCTGAGCTGAGAAACACACAGCTCTTCTATTGTGGTAGCATGTGGGAACACTAGTCGTTCCAAAAGGTGACTTAAGGTATTGTTCAGGTGATACAGGCCACAGAGTGCCGTCCTGCAATGCCTCCGTGGCTGAATAGAAGTGTAGCTTTTAGAAAAATACCTGATCTTCGTTTAAAGGCTTGCGGTGATATGATATCCATCCTTCAGTCTTGGTGGCTGGCCTTGTGTACAAGGACACTTTCTACGTTCTTTCACTTTGAGGGAGAGATCAAAATGGGGTGAGGATCCTCAGGGGCCTGTAAGGTGGGATCCGTTACCTGAAGTGAGAAGAGAGAGCAGAAACCAGAACTGAGTAGTGTGCCAGGAGGGAATGTAAGCTGAGAAACGATTTGGCAGTCTAAGGCTGGGAAGCTCTGACAGTAAAGATCAGCAGCAGATGAGAAATCTTGAGTCACTTTTTGGGCACTCTCAGTTGGCAAAGTAGTTAACTCATTTCTGTAATGCCACTGGGAAGATGCAAAAATGGTCTTTCTTCTGCTAAGGTTTTTCATTCCCAGCAGGCAAGATTTAGCCTCTTTTGTGCCATTCAGAAGTTCTAAGTGTTAAACAGGAGCTGGAACACATAGCTTATGAGGAGTAGTTATTTCCTTTAAATACTAAGACTTTAGCTGTATTTTTCTGTGATAAAATTGCCTTGCTTATAAGGTGGTGTTCTGACTTGGGCGAAGATGAATCTGTTATGGACTAGTAAGTGTAAGTTACATACTGGGAGCTGTAGATTTACCTTCTTCTCCCATTTATACAACAGTAAGAGCAGTGGATCTGCAGCTCTGCTGGCACTCTCCTGGACATGCCTGCTTGTACGCACAGTCTTTCCAACACCTGACAAGAGACAGGGAGAAACATGGAAAAAACTGGTAGGTTCTTTTTGGTTTGCAGAAATACCCCTTTGGAGATAAGGGCTTAAGTGTTTCCAATGTATTTTAAGTTGCTGGAACATAGCAAATAATTCTGAATGTAACTGATAATGTCATGTTAAAATCCAGGTTTACATGATAGTCTTTTTTGCTTTCTGGTGTGATCTCTCCTGTTCTGCTGGAGAAAGCAGGAGGTGTATAAAGCACAGGAGTGGAGCAGTCTTGTACCTGTACAGAGTTGCTCTGCGTACTATGGTGTATACCAGTGTTTCTAGACTGTGTGTTGTAGCAGTGCCTCCAAGGTGCAGTCTGCAGCATGGCATGAATTTCTTGTGCCTCCCTTGAAGTAGCTGCATGTGATATTCTGTCATATAGTGTCAAGTAGCTTTTTGCTTTCTTTTCACCTACTTTAACAACTTGAGCCTGTGACCATCTCATAGCACCTTGGAATATAGTTGGAACACATTTTAAGAAGTGATGTAATCTGATATAAATTGCTGTTTTCAAAGTCAAGAGTTTCCAAAACTGTTTAGGCATGGTTCTGCAGAGTGGTGTGTGTGGGATGCAAGCAATGGCAGCTTGTTGGAAGAACTTATATGACCTAAGGACTTTTTCCTAAGCAGATTCAGCTCATCACTGGCATCTGATATACCTTGTTTGATCCGAGCTCTCTGAGAAGCAGGTGTGTGAAGGTTTTCTTGGCTGTTTCCCTTGGCAGGTGGAGGTTCAGTGTTTGCTCCTTTTGGAAGTCCTGGGAGGTTCTCATAAGCAGGCGGTGGATGGGGCTGTGAAGAAATTGAACAGGCTGTGGAAGGAGGTGATGTATGCCTTATGTGACCATATTCAGTAACTGTTCTAGGTTCTGTTGTGTTAATGTGCCTTGCTATTTTTCTTTTCAGAACCAAGATCTGGTGGATCAGTACCTTTCCGTCATTCTTGGTCTTGAACCAAACCAGAGTTACGCTGCAATGCTGGGACTTGTGGTGCAGTTTTGCACAGCCCAGAAAGAGATTGATATTATTAAACGATACAAGGTAAGTCTGTCGTGCTACTTTTTTTTTTTCGATAATAAGTAGCGTCACTCTTATCATGGAGAAGGGGGCTGAACAGATGTCTCAGTGAGGTTGGTACTTTGCATCTGCCCCTGGTTTCATTATGTGTCAATTCAGTATTCATGCACTTCTGACTAAAGTAGCTGGGACTGTTTTAAAGAGGAGGTGCCAGATATGTGGCTTTTTGCTGTGGCCTCTGCATTTATGTAGATGGCCAACAGTGCAGCTTTCTGCCTTGTCCCTGTTGTAGGAATGGAAGGCAGCATTTAGCTCTCAGTGCGTTTTGAGTGTTGGGCTGAAGAGTAGAGCAGAGAGCACTGATCTCTGCTTGACTGTCTTACGTGAGAATGGAAGCAAAGCTTCTGCTTAGTGGATAGGGCTGCCTTCCAGAGGAGAATGGGGTGCGGTATCAAGCCTGGCTTCCTGATGGTGCGTGGGGAGCTGTGTATAGGTTGCGATGTGGTTGTAATTTGGTGTTTCTGCTTGTTCAGAGTGCTCTTCTGGATTTCTACTTGAAGACCATCCTTATGAGCAAGACAAAGCCTCAGAAGCGCGTACTGGTGAGACATACTGTTACAGAGCTGTTTGTGCTTTTGTCCTATGTGCAATGTCCACTGCTGTGCTGAGCGCTTTGTTCCCTTTGCAGGACAGCTGTTCCCCACTTCTTCGGTACATGTCTCACACTGAATTCAAGGACTTAGTTTTGCCAACTCTGCAGAAATCCCTGCTACGGAGTCCTGAGAACGTAATTGAAAGTGAGTCTGTCATCTCTTTACATTGCTCTGTCAAAGAGCATGAACAGTTGTTCCTTAGAGGTCTGGAGTTGTGGTGGGACTGTGTATCTCTGGACTATGCTTTTGGTCCTGTGAGCACAGGCAGCAGGATTGTCTGGCATCTAAGGATTGGATGTGGAGAAGCAACATTTGTGGTGTGATCCCAAGTGTCTGGGTATGTGATAGCTGCTGTTTGCATTGAGGACAGAATTTCACAGCTGAGTGCTAAGAATAATCCTGAAATTAATCTGTTCACTGGGCATCAATTTCAGTGTTTTTTCTTCCTACTGACTGTCTGCTCTTGATGTGAACTGTGGGGAAGGGTGTATTAAAATGCTAAAACCAGTTAATTAAAATGTAATATGCCATTATCTCTTCTGTCTTCAGCAATCTCTTGCTTGCTTGTATCTGTGAACCTGGATCTCAGCCAGTATGCTCTAGACATTGTGAAAGGACTGGCCAGTAAGTACTCTAACTTCTGGAGGAAATGACGAATTCAGAATAAAACTTTCTTCAACTTTCTGGCTGTACCTCTAACAGCTTGATTACTGGTGAAGAGGTTGTTTTATGTGGGAGGGAGGATGATGCTGTAACTTGGAACTGGAATAGTTCACGTGATGGTTCCAGAAGCTGAGTTAAGCACACGTAAAGATATGTCCTTGTCTTGCTGATTTTATGCAGTTTGTCATAAGGAGCTCTTAGCTTGTGCATTGTGTGCTAGGTCATCTGAAATCCAACAGTGTGCAGCTGATGGATGAAGCCGTTGTGGCATTAAAGAACTTGGCTCGACAGTGTAGTGATCCTTCGGCTGTGGAGTCGCTGGGCAGACACCTTTTTGCCATCTTAGGGGGTGAGTAAATTGTAGGATAAACAGTGGAGGTGAATAAAGGTTTGCCAGCTTCAAGAAGTTTTGTGTATTGTATTTTCTGTTGTCTTTAGCTGCCTGTATGGTAGCGGTGGCTCAACCTGTATCAGGGGTAAATGGGTCAAGCCTTTGTATTTTTAGAGACTATTCTTGATGTGCCACATAGCTGTTGTCTCTAAGTCAGCCGTCACCCATTTGTTTCTTGTTGGCAGGCTCAGAAGGGAAGCTGACAGTTGTTGCTCAGAAGATGAGTGTCCTTTCAGGTGAGGATCCTAGAAGAAAGCTGCTTCTCTGGTGGAGCAAATTCAGCAGAAGGCTGACTGAAAGGGATCTGTACTTAAACCTCTAGGATTCCATGCCTGTCGTTCCAAATTGGCTGTGGTTAATGTCATAGAGGCTGCTGGATACCACATGCTAGTTCTTGACTTTCTCTTCAAAGGAAATAATTGGCTGGTAGGCTAAAATGTTTTATGCAAGGAAGAAGATGACTGTATCCTGAGTAAAAATGAAGACAGAGGTCCTGCACTGTTGGTACATGGTGGATGTGACATCCAGATATAGTGACAAGAGAGAGGTGTCTGTACAAGGATTGAAGTGTGAAGGGTCATTCTTGATTGTTTTTAGATTGTGCAGCAAGTGCTGGTAGTTTGGGAACTAATGAGAGAATTCTGTCCTTTCAGGGATTGGCAGCCTTAGTCACCATGTGGTTTCTGGATCCTCTAGCCAAGCTCTGACTGGAACTGTGGCTGAGCTTTTCATCCCTTTCCTGCAACAAGAAGGTGAGACCTCTTGCCTTTGTTCTGGGTTTGCTAAACTGCTTTCGTCTTGAGCAGGATTTTCATATGGTCTGTTCTGCAGGATAAATCCGGATTCTTGCCTGTTGTGCTATAAAGTCCCTTGCCCTGTTTTGATGAGCAGCCCCATGGAGACAGTGCTATGAGAAGCACGTACATTTTTTTCCTGCCTCCTCCTGATGTTGTTACCCGCTTTCTGGTTTATGTTCCTGTGTTTTATGCAATTGCTGTACTGATGTGAGCTCTGTGTTACTTCCTAGTCCATGAAGGCACGTTGGTTCATGCAGTCTCTGTCCTGGCTCTTTGGTGTGTTCGGTTCACCACGGAAGTTCCTAAGAAGCTGGTAGAGTGGCTAAAGAAAGCCTTCAGCCTTAAAACCTCTACTTCAGCTGTGAGACATGCCTACCTGCAGTGCATGCTAGCCTCTTTCAAAGGTAAAACTGTGCAGCTATTAATAACTCTCTTGACTGTGTGGTTTTAAGAGAAGAGTAATCAACTTTTGTACTTCCTAAGTAGATAGCTGTGTGGATTAAGAAAGATTTTATAAGGCAATATCTATTCAATGACCTCCTCCATATTTCTCCTTAAACTCTCTTTTACCTTCAAGTTTATAAAGATGGTTTGTCTCCTTGTATAACTAGCATCACTGCCCATCGTGCTGCCTTTTCATATACCTCCAAAGGAATTTTTGATTGCTTTTGATTTTTGTCTTATACTTGGATTGTAAGGTTTCTAGCTTGGGAACCATGCTTTTGTTTTATATAGCACCCAGCACACTGGCATCCTGGTCTGTGGCTTCGGTTCTCAGAAGCTTTAAAAAAAATACAAAAAAATTAATATGTTTGAAATGAAGGTCTTCAGAAATTCTAAACTTTTGGTGATCCTTTTGAGATTTGCTTCTGTTGGTCCTATCCCCTTTGACTTCCATATTTCATCCATGGGTCAATAGGCAATCAGTGGGATGCCTGTATGTGAGATGTCTCGTTGATGGTGTGTGAATTAAAAATCATCCTATGATACAATGGATTTGCCATAATTTCCTCAATATGGATACGAGTGAAATTGTAATTCTACATTTTTCTATTGTAGCTACCAGGAATTTCTGTGCTATCATAGGGCTGAAAAAAACCCCACTCTAAAACTACTTAGATATCACAGGATGGTGATCCTTTCAGAGACATCAATATGGTAAACTTGAAGTTGCTCATGCTTGCCGTGGGCAGGGAGGATTACTTGTGTGTGATATGTGCAGCTGTTCAAGGGACCAGGGCTGAAAATAATTCATATTCCAAAATTATTTACTTGCCACTGGAACACTGACTACCGTTGCTTTGACCCACGCAGTGACGCATCCAACTGGGGCATAAAGAAAACAAGAGATTCTAACTCCTATGAGTTTATGGTTAAAACGCTACCTGCAAATACTTAATGTAGGAAATCGCAAGGTCTATTTTGTGTGAGGTGTTGCTTCTGGAAATACTGGGAACACCTAGCTCAATTTCTGTGGAAGTGAGGGTCGCAGACCAGTGGGATTCCTTGACTTGTGAATGTTTGAAGTGGAACAGATGGTTGTAGCTTGCCAGGAATTTACTTTCCCTCTCTCAGGAAAGCATAATCTTTGAGGTCAGACTTCCTGTGATTTGAACGAATTCCTTCAATGTAACTGAATTAGCGTTTTCTTTTGCATCCCATGAACAGAAAGTTGTATTGAGATGGGACTATTTTATCTGTGAGGAAAGGACTAAAGTGGTTATCATTCAGCTTTTCATAAAGTTTAATGATAGCAATTGGCAAATACTCTTGCAGATTCAGAGTCTTCCCAGTATGTGTCTGGTTCCTTTCCTTGTCTTATGACAACAGAAGAACCATTGATACCCTTGTGGTGTAAAGTGTGAAGGACCATGTTGTTTTGTAACTTGTCTCTTTCTGTCTCCTCAGGTGACACATTATTACAGGGAATGGACTTGCTGCCAATGCTGATCCAGACAGTGGAAAAAGCAGCATCTCAATGTACTCAGGTTCCCATGGTAACTGAAGGAGTTGCTGCAGCTTTGTTGATCTGCAGGATGTCTGTAATTGAGGGACAAACTGGTAAGGTCACAAAACATCTAGTAGAACCCAAAGTAAACAGGTTCTGAGGGTTAACACTTTTTCTTGACAATGAGCATGAGATACTATTCCTTAATGTGTGTTATTGTTTCTGCATAGAGAATCATTGCCCTTTTGTAAATCAGGGAAGGATTTATTCCCATCTCTCTCGGTTATGTCAATGAAGAATTCTTGCTCTTCCATGGCTTTGCAAATTGCAGTTTCCATTCACTTAGGGCAGTATTCCTCTTTATTCTGACAGAAGACATTCACCCAGACCTTACATGCTGGGACTTGACTGGTACATTAAAAATATTACTTGGTTGTTATTTGGGTGATATTTTTACAAACCATCTTTGGAAAGTAGGAGGACTGGATTTCTGTCTTCCATTAGAGGATTGTCGTGGTTTAGCCCCAGCCAGCGACTAAGC